TTTATAAACGCCTTGAAAACTGTGGAGAAATGACCAGAAGTAGCATTCCTTATATCAGGGTGGATTTGTCAGGAATAAGTCTTGCCAGACTAATCTTATCTCATTTGCTGACTGGGTAATTTTCTTACTAGATTGTGGGAAGGCTATGGACTTAATATATCTTGATTTCAGCAGAGCATTTGACAAAATACTTTATGGCATATTGATTAGCAAGCATGTTAAGTATGGGGTGGATGGCATAGTTACTATCTTTTATCAACTCTCAAATTTTATCTTTTCTATCTCTGTCTATCTTCAGAGGCTAGACGTTCATCTGTCAGAGATGCTCTAGTGCAGTGCTTCTCTCAACCTTGGCAATTTTAAGATGTGTGGACTTCAACTCCTAGAATTCTCCAGCCAGCATGGCTAGCTGGGGAATTCTGGGAGTTGGTCCACACATCTTAAAGTTGTCAAGGTTGAGAAACACTGCCCTAGTGAATCCTGCACTGAACAGGAGTTTGGATTAGATAACCTCTGAGGTATCCAGTTCTGATTCTGTGATTGTACCCCAAGAACTGAACAAGGCAACCTTTATTTCATTTTACTAACATAGATCTAGTCTAGGAAATCTGCCTAGTCTGGCCAGTTCTAGTTTAACATGGATCTTCCTACTTTGCCAGACAGCAGCTCTCTAATGCCCTGCAGAAAACATAACTTTTGTGTCTGGTGCCTGATTACTTCAATCAGAGATGGCTGGGACTGACCCTAGACCCTAGACCCTTCTACTTGCCATTGTGAAGATTCAGGATGATAATTATGTGTCTCGGGGGCTTGTCAAGTAGAGTTCCAGTCTATTCAGAGAAATTAGCTCAGCTTGTCTGCCAAAATCATCAGCGATGGCCTCCTTTAATCCAGCTCCTCCCACTTCATAGTTATATGGTGAAAAGAAACACAAGAGACAGCCGCTGATATTTGCCAAGGCTACATACCTTGTGATCTATCAAGCTTAAACAGCTTATCAGTGTACCCAACACTTCTAATTTCTGCTACCTGCTCTATTCCCCCAGGCACCTAACAGAGCCAGCTGAAGAAAGATTTTCCAATCTCTTTTTGTCTGTTACAGTGATTCCTAAGTAAATTTTTCTGGATTAAAAATTCCCAAGTTTCCATCTTACAGAAAGGCAGGGCACTTGGCTTTACTTTGTCCGCCCTTATATAGTGAAGTTGCTGGGGGGAAAGTGTGGGGCTTACACCTGGGTCATTTGCAAGGGCTACATCTAAAGGCCCTATTCTTGGATCTCTAGAAACACTACAGCATTGGTGGGAAAGGAGTAGGACATAGTAAGAGAAGACACAGTTGCTGTATCACATTTCAGTGTACCTAGTTTTAAATTTGTTTTCTGTTATAAATGGCAGCTTATTCTTGGTGAGTCAGACTTTCCTTTATCTATAGTGGATTCTCTCTTACTTGTATAGTAATAGTACATGTCCTCCAATTATGTAGCATTTTTAAAAAGTGAGAGAATTTATCTGAGCTACTAAGATGCTGCCTTAAGTCACTTCACTAGCTTGGTACAGAAGAGAATGAATGAGTTAATACACCTGTGTAATTCAGTCTGTGAATCGCAGCCTGGTAGTTAAGGTTCTGGATCTCTGGAGGCTAAAGCTTCCTCCTTGCCTAAGATTAGGACTCCTCCAGAAGGTCTATGACCCATCATCTTTTCCCACTGGCTGTGATGGCTGGGGCTACCAGGGGCTGTAACTTAGCAATATCTGGAGACTAAGAAAGGAAGGAGACTCGAGAGACCTGAAACAGAGGTAACAGAGGCAGGCTAGGAACCAACAATAGGAACAGCAAGTTTCAGGCCAATATCTTTTTCTCTCAGCTCAAGGATGGTGAATTACACATCAATCTAGCAGCTGGGAAAGCTCCTCTGTCTAAACAGGAAAATGTTATCCCTTCCTTTCCATCATGGTTCGTTTTTTGAGAAAAACATCATTCCTCCTTATGTCCGGTTTTCAAAGTGTATTATTAATAGATGTAGTAAAGCAAACAACTGCTTACCTGGAAGGAAAGAAGCATAGCCTCTGCTATGAATAGACAGCTGACCTTTGCTCTGTGAAATAAATAACGCATGACATAACTAGAGCCCTCTCTCCATTTAAAGAAGTCAAAAATATTCTTATGCATTCCTAAGTTAGTCTTAATCAACACAGGGTCCATCCTAGAGTTCAGAGTGCTACTGATTCCAGGGGTAGTTGCAGGGCAAGTTGGAGGTTTGGTGATTTTGGAAATATTCAGGCTTTTGTTTCTCACCGAAATGTTTTGGAGCACCAGCCGGCCATGGTGAAGAAATCTCCACTCATCCTTGAGCTGGCAGAAAATTACACAGTACAACATGCCACTTGCTGTCCCTATTGATTTCTTGCGTTGCCTAGTTTAGGTCATTGAAGTCATCTGACTTCTTTTCATAGTACCCTGTCTGACTTTATACACCTCGTGGCTGCTGTTGAACAGGACTTGAATAAGGGGAGGTGGGTGGGATATACAACTCCAAGACTTGTACAGCTAAGAATGACTTAGGCCCATCTCACTCATGGGCTGGGCAATGCTTCAAGGACATAGCAGAGAGAAGTGTTGCCAGGGCAGCTTTGTGCCTCGGGTAGATGCAAGTGAGGAAAGCTCCATTTGAGGGTATATGGCTCAATGCAATGTCCTGCTGAGAGTTTTGCTGGTCCATCTCTAAAATCCATCTCGCTGCCATCCTATATAGGAAAGACACAGCATCCATTGGCCCAAGGACCATATCACATTTTTTTTCTTTCTTTCTTTCTTTCTCTTTCTTTCTTTCTTTCTTTCTTTCTTTCTTTCTTTCTTTCTTTCTCTTTCTTTCTTTCTTTCTTTCTTTCTCTTTCTT